AAATTTATTATTGTCAAAATAGGCTGATGCTTTTAGCATATTATAAACAATTGCATAGATATTATCCTGCATTATCAGATCCTCCTAAGATTCAGTGATTTGATTATATGAAGAGTGTGCTTATTTTCGGAGGAACATGATAGTATACCGCGGGATAGGGGATCTGGAACATCGGAAGATGGACATAAGATATCTCATAAACCCGGTGAATATTGGGATTTATGTTCCTGGAATATCTGGGAACGCCTAGTCACAAGGGTGAAAAAAAAATTTGTTGTAACGAGTATTGGTAATTTACGAATCTAGTCATTGTAGTGCACCATCCCGGTAAACATTTTCATGATGCCTTTCATTGCTTCATTTAACATTAGAATTATCTAACGTTTCTAAGTCAGACCATAACATTTAATTATTGATTAATTATATTTATCCGGTTTGGCATGAACACCGCGCAACTACTTATGTTTTTCCGCTGTTAATATGGGAAGTTCGGTTTTTCATTTTTTTATTTTATTTTTATTTTTGTTATGATTTAAAATGTATTTTATATTTTATTAAACCATTAATCTTTATCTCAGTGCTCATGATCATTGGGCATGTCGCATATGCTAGCTTGGTCTTAAGAACATGATCAAACAAGTAATTAACATTAGTGGTGCATTTATTAACAACAATATAGCTTATCATTACATAACGATAAAAATGATTTAAATTCGTGAATTTAAATAAAATTAGTGAAGGTTTAATATTGTGATTAAAATTAGTACTATACTGGGTTAACAAGAACTATTGTGAGTTCGAAGCCTAACATATTATTACTGATATTAATAAAAGGTAAAAAAAAAAAAAAAATCGCAGATTTGATTTAATTATTGGCCAATTTAAAGGTCTAATATTGAATGTAACAATAAAGTCATGTGCCGGACAGACGGACATTTTTCAACTTTTTACATGTACATGTAAGTCCTCACTACGCTTCGGATAATTAGTAAATATATATATTTCGCGTTATTTTTTGATTTATAGTGTTATTTTCGAAATTAACCCGTTTCTAAGCGCAACTTTCTCTTTAGCTATTTACAGCCTATCAGTATCAGAAATATAAACTTCACCCTGTTTAATTTTAAAGGACTAAGAACCCCATATAGATAAAACATTTTGCAAAATGGCCAGACTGTAATTACGTTTAAGCAATCTATATATTTTACTCATTTTTTTACTTATTGATATAGTTATTAAAAATTATTTCAAAGTGAGAAAAGTGAAGTAATTAAACAAATTCTCCCTTTTTTTGATGTTAATTTCGGTTTAATCGTGACGTAAATACATTATCATATCAATATACTTTATGCATGAATGCTGCTTCTTTGTATATATTTTTTACATAGTTCTTAAAGCAAAAACAAGCAAAGATAAAAAAAAAACTTTATAATAATAGTTAATAACTTTTTGCAATGCACATAGTTTTTTTTTTCAACAAGGGCAAGCTTTGTCACTATAAATAGTCTTTGATAATCGCTTTGTTTTTGATAAAAAAAAAAATCGGGTTCATCCGAATTTTCATCATACCTTCAAAATATTGCTAAATATTCTAAACATTATCTCTTATGATAAGCTTATTCAAGGCAAATTTGGCTGAATACTAAAAAAATATTTACAATTTTAGCTAAAATTAAAAATAAGAATCCACCCGGTAATTAAAATATATAATAAAATTTTTCAAAAGTTGACCCAGTCAGGTTACGAAAACCAATTAAATTTCATACCTAACGCTAATACAACTTAATTTTAAAAGCCCTACTTTCAATAATGAACTTGGCCTGAAAAATTCGATCAAAATATGCAATATGGTACATTTAAGGGGGCGCGTTATTTTGGGACGCGCGTGGGCGTTATTTTGAGTCAAAAAAACAATTTTCAAAAAAATGTGAGTTTCGAAATAACACCCATGTGTGTTATTACGCGCCAATACGGTATATATAAAAAAATTTTTTTTATAGTATTCAAAAATCCTACCCAGATAGTAAGTGTAGTTCGGCAGGTTAAGAGAACCAATTATTAAGTTGTATGCTTAATATATATATATATATATATATATATATAAGCTTTTTATTGCACACTTAAACTCACTTAACAATTTCAATCCGAAACATAAAGCTTTAGGTGTCTGTAATCTATTTTGTTATTAATTCAACCTTTTCTCTCAGCTACACTTTTGTCAGTAAGAATTTTAATGCTTACATTTATTACACATTAGCTTAAAAACTGTCTCTAAGAACACCTAGGTAGAGTAAATTCGAGATAAAGCTTCGTTTGTGAAAAGTATTCTATACTATAGTGTTATCATTATAAGTAGCGGTTACATTTTAAAGAAAAAATAAAGATTATGTTTGAAACTGTATAAATTGTATAAATACAATTGTATAAGATTAACAAATCATAAGAAAGAATCTAGTCATCCTAAGAAGCTCGAAACAGAAATGAAAATAAGATAGAGAATAGACCAAGTCCGAAATTTTCGATTCATAAGATATAGATTAATTGGATTATACAATTGAACTGTTTTCATTTGCATTTCTTATATAATGATAAATTAAATTATTATTATATTTCTGTACATTATTTGGAATACGCTGCTTCCAATCAAATCTATTATTATTGAAAAAAGTTACGGAGTCATGATTGTTAACGAAATATAATGACTGCATATTCCTAAACATCTATTGAAAAATTTGACTAAATAAGAGAAAATTAAATATATAATTTATGTTAATAATTATAAAGTCTTATTTTCTGTGATCTTTGTTTTTCTTCTAAATAATTAATTCCATGAAATTGCGGTAGGCGTCATTAGGCCACTCTGCTAGATTTTGTGGCTTACAAAAATTTTCTATAAATAAAAAAAAATTTTATTCCTTATAGTCGCCCAGATGTTTAATTATTTATGAAGGGAGGATAAATTCATCGTGAAAAGGTGTATTCTTTTTTCCTTCAATGCTATCTAAGGCGTCGTAAATAGTTGATCTTCAAGGTCAGAACTATATCTGATCGCAATCCTTGAACAAGTTCTCAATCAAATTGACACTTATTGTTAAAAACAATAAAGATAACATTCAACCAATCGAAACCTAGTAGTTAAACAATATTTACCAATAAAGTTAGTTCTTGGATCTATAGAGAGATAGGATTAAATCCTGACCGATCCTGACAGACCTTTGTAAGTATCGATCCATTAACATCCCTAACGGGGCTTTCTGTAATATTTCCTAGTATAGAAGTTGAAACGCCTTTCTTGTTTCTTGATTCTCCACAAAGTTCAATTTTCTTTTTTTTGGTGGTTCATCAGAGTTTACTAATTTCCCCCCAAGTTCCTATTGGCCGAATGCAATTTTCGTTTTCTGGTGGATAAATCGCCGATCGAGTGGCTGAAAATTAATGTAATCATCGTTATGCGCCGCAATTAATATCACTTCGAATATCATAGCGATTATTTTCGTAATAATTACCCGTTTATTAAAATTTTTTTTTCACCATTAATACTAACGTTTCTTTCTTTTGAATTTAGCAACTCTTCACGATCGATTAAACCATTTTTTGAAGGTTTTTTTTTAGCATTCGTTGAATTCATAATAAAGATAATAACCATTTGCGCAACAAATTAAATTTTTTTTTTTTTTTTTACATATTTTAATATTTATTGTATCGCAAAATTATTTAAAATAAACAGTTTCATTGGATTATTTTATATTTTATATTTTCGCTCATTATGTCAATTTTGCTTAATATCGATGATATTTTTGACATCAATGAGGATGTCGATATGAACATAAGCAATAATGAGCTCGATAACATGCTTGACTGTATTCTGGATGCAACAGATGGTATCAGTCAAGCTTGGGAGATTGCTAATGATGATAAAGAGGCCCCAGAAACAGAAAGAGTAAAAACCTATCATCTTCCGGTAGACAAATATGAGGGATGGATCAGTATCCTTGAGCAAGCAGGTCTTAGCTACTATCAACACGATCATCAAGCTAATTTAGGTGCAAAGAGAAAAAATTTGTGAAGCGAAAGGTGGTATTATCATTATTATGGAACCTACGAGAGTGTTGCTGGAAAAGGCATCAATAAAAAGCTATGATTAGTACAAAAAGAAACAAAAAAATGCAGGTGTAAAAGCTACATTCACATTGTGCTTCCCATTAACTTGCAAATGGTGACTTTAAAGTGCTATTATAAACATAGTAACTATTACTTGGATAAACTGTCAGATTTATGTACATTGCCCCTTTCTGATAACATCTAACAGTTTATCCAACAGCATGCTCTTGAAGAGCTAGATGTTTTTAGCATACAAAAGCTTATGCGACATCGGGTGATCGAATTACAAAATCAGATTTCTATCATATTTTTTCTATTACTGTATTATTAATTTAAATATCGGGAGGGGTTTTTTTTTCTATTATTTAAATATCAGTTTTTTTTTTTTAAAAAAAAAAAAAAATCCTTTTTTTTAAAAAAAAAAATCTTTATTTTTTTAAAAAAAAATATCGATTTTTTTTTTTCTTTTTTAATTATCGATTTTTTTTCTTTTTAATTATTGATTTTTTTAATAAAATTTAAATACCACCTTTTTTTTAATAATTATTATTATTATTTATTTTAATATTGGTTATTTTTTTTAATAATTAAATATTCTTTTTTTAAATTATCTAGTTTTTTAAAAATATATATATATATCAATTTTTTTCTTTTTTATTATTAATTATTTTAAAAGCATTTTTTTTTAAATAATTTAAATATCACATTTTTTCTTTTTTTAAATTATTTTATTTTTTTTTTAAAAAAAAATATCAATTTTTTTTTAAATATAGATTTTTTTTCTTTTTATTGTTGATTTTTTTTTTAAATTATCGATCTTTTTCTTTTTTGTTTTTTTCTCTAATTTTTGGTTTTATTTATTAATATTTTAAATCACATCTTTTTTTTTATTAATGCAGTATATTAAATTATCAGTTTTATTTTTTTTTAATATTAAGGTGACCACTTAGGCCTCTGGCACGTAGCTTTATTCAGATAGTTACGATATTACATCAAATTCACAAAGGATTATCAGTTTTATCATTTATATATTTATTTATTAATATTTTAAATTATCATTTTTTTTTATTTAAAATTTTTTTTTTATATACTTTATTATTATTATTTGTTTAATTTTATTATTTTTTAAATTAATTTCATAATTCTTTTTTAGGTGTATTTGTTTAACTCTGAAAGCTATTTACAAAATGTGCAAACACTATAGG